ATGATGTAATGTATGGGGATTAACATAAGAATAAAAAAAAAAGAAACGTAACTTAAAAAAAAAAAGAAAATACAATTGATTTTTGTAGAGAAAGTTTCTAATTCTTAACCTGGTCAAATTCACTTACCAGTTCTCGTAGCTTTTTTTGAATTTCACCAGAATTTCTATGTAGACAATCATATCGCCTGGGAATAAAGATGATTCTACTTTTTCCATGTCTAATCTGGACTTTTTTTTTTTAAAGATTTATTTATTTATTTGAGAGAGCGAGAATGAGAGAGAGTACATGAGAGGGAGGAGGGTCAGAGGGAGAAGCAGGCTCCTCGCTGAGCAGGGAGCCCGATGCAGGACTCGATCCCGGGACTCCAGGATCATGACCTGAGCTGAAGGCAGTTGCTTAACCAACTGAGCCACCCAGGCGCCCTAATCTGGATGTTTTTTATTTCTTTTCTTGCCTCAATGAACTGGCTAGAATCTCCAACACAATGTGAGATAGAAGCACTAAGAGTAGACATTCTTGTCTTTTTCTTGATCATAGGAGGAAAACATCTGGCTTATTACCATTAAGTATAATATCAGCTGTTGGTTTTTTGTAGATGCGCTTTTTCAGGTTGGGCAGACTCCTTCCTATTCCTGGTTTTCTGAGAGTTCTCATCAGGAGTAGATGTAGGGTTTTGTCAAATGCTTTTTCTGTGTCTACTGAGATGATCATAAGGTTTATCTCTTTTAATTTGTTAATGTGGTGAATTACATTGTTGATTTTCAAATGTTAAACCATTTTCACATTCCTGGGATAGAACTCCACTTGCTCAGGATGTATTTATTCTTTTTATATATGGTGTTGGATTCAATCTGTTAAAATTTCCTAAAGAATTTTTGCATCTATGTTCATGAGCAATATTGGCCTTTTTCTTTTCTTGTAATGTCTTTGTCCAGTTTTGGTAGCAGGTAATCCTGGCCTCATAGAATATATTAGGAAGTATTTCATATTCTTCTGTTTTCTGGAGAGTTTGCATAGAACTGGTATTAGTTTTTCTTTAAAAATTTGTAGTGTTCATCAATATAGCCATCTGGGCCTTGAGTTTTCTTGTAGGAAGGGTTGTCACTGTCGGTTCAATTTCTTTAGTTGTGTTACCCATTTTATCCATTTCTTCTTGAGTGAGCTTTGATATTTAGTGATTTTCAAGGAATTTGTCCATCTCGTCTAAATTGTCAAATTTATTGCCATAAAATTGTTCATAACAGTCTCTTAGCCTTTTATTGTCTATAGAATTTATAATGTGTCACCTCTCAAATTTCTGATATTACAAGTTGTGTTTTCTCTCTTTATTGATCTTCTTTAAAAACAAGCTCTTATTTTTGTTAATTTTCTCTATTGTTACTCTGTTTTCTATTTCATTGATATCTGCTCAGACTTTTAGTATTTTTTTCTCCTTACTTTGGGTATAATTTGCTCTTCTCTTTCTGGTTTCTTAAGGTAGAAGCTGAGGTCATTGATTTGAGATCTTTCTTCTCTTCTAATATGTGTGTCTAGATAATTTTTTCCCCTGAGTACTATGTTAGCAATATCCTACGAAATTTGATATATTGTGCTTTTATTTTCACTTAGTTCTACTTTATATGACTTGAATCCTTTAAAATTAATTGAAACTTGTTTTGTGGACCAAAATATGGACCGTCTTGGTAAATATTCCATGTGCACTTGAAAAGAGCATATTTAGCTTCTGTTGGGTAGAGTATTCTACAAATGTTAATTAGGTCAAGATGGTTGACAGCGTTGTTTACTTCTGTATCTTTGTTTATTTCAGTCTACTTGTTTTATTAATTATTTATAGAGGGATACTGAAATCTTTGAATATGACTGTGGATTTGTCTATTTCCCCTTGCAGTTCTATCAGTTTTTGCTTCATACATTTTAAAGCCCTGTTATTAGGTGCGTAAGTATTTAGGATTATTATTATCTTATTGATGAATTGATTTCTTTATCATTATGAATTACTTTCTTTATTCTTATTAATATTCTTTGTTCTAGAATAGACTCTGCCTGATATTAATATGCAGCTTTCTCTTGGCTAGTATTAACGTGGTATATATTTTTCCAGCCTTTTGTTTTTAACCTATTTGTGTCATAATGTTTGTAGGCAGCATATAGTTGGGTTTCCTCAACTTGGAGAGTCTGCCAGGCTCTGCCTGGATTTCCCCTTCCTGTTTCATGGCCTAAAAACTCTCTAGGCAATAATAGGCTCCTTTTGTTTGTTTCCCATCTATCACGAACAGGCTTTGGGCTAGGGTGAGGTGAGTAAGGTCCCTGGGGTACAAAATTTAAGAAGGTAATCACTGTCCGATGCACAGTTTTCAGAATGGGTTTCTCTTTAAATATTTACTTTAGGTGTCTCACCCTTAAGAAGACACTCTCAGAGTTGTGTAAGTACAGGGCTAGTACCTGAGAGTAAATGGCTCCTTTAATTTTGCTCTTTAGGAGCCTCATTCAGCTCACCCTAGTCTTGACCCTGCTGAAGGATCACTGTCCTTCATTGCCTGATGTCCAGTGTCTTAGAAAGCTTTTTTTGAAATATATTTTGTTTAGATTTTTTATTATCTCAGTTGGAAAAGTAAATTAAGTCCCTGTTACTCCATCTTTTCTGGAAATGGAAGTCTGAACTTATTCTTTATGAGATAAAAATCCCACATATAGAGCTATCTGATTGAAATACAAATGTTTTTAGGCCTCCCTGCAAATAATTCAGCCAAAAATTGGTCTTCTTTTATTCAATAGACAATCAATGAGCCCTGGCTATATACCATATTCTGGGCTAGGAACTGGGGGTAACATCAAATAATACATGGTGCCTATCTAGTAGCTGCTCATAGCTGGCTGCTTTAGAACTATTACCTTGGCCCTCTCATGCCATGCATCACGTGTGACATGGGTCAGGGAAGGCAGAGAGCCAGAGAAAGTCATACCTAGAACTGAGAAATCATCTCTACTAATTGCCAGGCCCAGAATGGCTCAGGGGTTTACTTAAGCTCACATAAGTAGTCAGTAGTAGTTGATTGCTATGTAGTCTATTTTGAGGGATATGGAGGTCAGACCTAACCCAAAATACCCTCCTTTACTGCCAGTTACTGTGACTGAAATCCCACGATTTGAGGCTCATTCATTAACAGTGGGGACCATGTCTTATTCATGTTTGCATTTTTTGGTGTTAGCTCAGAGCCTGCTACAGGGTAATCAGTAGACGAGAATGAATGAATGATAAAAGTTAAAATGATGAATATGTCTCTGGAAGGTGACTTGGGTTATTATCTGTTGGTGATAAGTAGACCATTAAAAGCAAGCCCACAGCTGGGACCCACGATCGAAAGGCAATGTGGTAGAGTACATAAGGTCTCTAACTATACTAGACCTTGATCCAAGTTGCTTAACATTTCCCAAACTCAGTGTCCTCATCTGTATGATGGGAATCCTAATCATACTTACCTAATGGGGATATCAGGGTCCATTAGGATGAAGTATATTGGGGGACTGGCAAGAGAAAACCCTCAAAGAATGACAGGTGTTCTTAGTCCAGTCCTCTGGGAACAGCAGGTGGGATGGGGTAGGGGCTCCTGGATAGCAGAGATCTTGCAACAGTCCTGGCTAGGTAGCAGGAAGACACAGACTATTATGCTCACGCTGTGCATTTACAGAAGCTCAGATGTTACCACTGTTATTATCCCAAAGCCCTTCCTAAGCTCAGAGTTGCACATAGATGTTCTGGGCAATGCACATAAGCTGCGCAGAAACAGCCCTACTCTCTTGGGACTTATAACTAAGGCAGTTAGTTCCCCATGGGGAAGAGAGAATAGAAATGTTAAATCTGTCTGTGATTAGGTAATGGCCAGTTCACACTATGTAGGGATGAAGAGAAACACTCAATTCCCGAGGGCGGGGCTGGTCAGAGGAGTCAGATGGGAGCCCATAGTCCTGCCCAAGTGGAGCAAGAAGGTGAAGTCTGCTGTACCTTATCTGGGCTCTGTTACACCGAGTGCATTCCTGAGGCCAGGGGTAGTCTTCCGGTTCTGGGCCCACAGCTCTTGACACATCTGGCAGGTGGAAAATGTTGACTGAAATTACAGATTACTTTGGACTTATGGTGTAACTGAGCCAGATCCCCGGGCTCTGATAATCAGACAAAATCACCTGCGGATACAGTGATTTTCCACCTTTTTTCTGAGAATGGCACAGGAGACACGATTTAGAACTTCATTTTCTGCATTTCCCCAAAATGCATCATAGTGTGCATCTATATTTTAACATTCAAATACTATCATATCCTGAAAATGTGGACCTAGTCTACTTCCAAAAAGTACTCAGATAGAAAACTCTGAGGATTTTGATATTGCCTTTCATCACATTAACCCAATTTTTTATTGATAACAATTTCTTCTGTTGAAATTTCATAAACTTATAGTCAGAGGTAGAAGGGACCTTAAAGACTATAAATAGGTCCAGTCTTGTCATTACGCAGCAGATGAGGAAACTGAGACCAGGCAGGTACCGACTTGTTCAAGGTCATCTAAGTAGTAGCAGAGTCCAGACTAGAGGCAGGTTTCTGCAGACCTTCTTCCATAGGATCACATCACCATGCACCCTCTGAGAAAACTCTTGGAGGGACTTTCAGAAATCAGATCAGTGCATATGATTTGTGATTCTGTGTTGGCTGGAGACAGCCCTGGGTGTCACCAAACTAGGCCTGGCAAGTCCGGTAGAATAGAAGCTCCTCGAGGATCTGGCGCACTTCCATCCATCAGCTCTCATCTGCAGGCTCAGTCTGGAAATGTCTGTTTTCTTTTCCCCCCGCTTCTTTCTTTAATGGGCTAGCTGATCTATTAGTGATCACAGCACATTTCCCCTTGCCCTGAGCTTCTGCTAATGAGGAGGTGGTTGCTAAGAGGGGTGGGCACACCTCACCCCATCCACACCATACCCACTTGTCTCCCTCATCTTCTGTGTTCAGGTTCTGCAGAGACTTGAAGAAATTGACAAACCTGGATGGCTACCCCTGACAGGAGAGTAGTCTCTAGACCCCAGAGACCTGGCCAGGGTTCAAAGGAGAGTGGGGCCTGCCTGGGTCCCCTGGAGCAAGCCATGCGGAGCAAGGCATGGGAATTCTTTCAGACCTGTGACACAGAAGGCAAGGGTTTCATCACCAAGAGGGACATGCAGGTAAGAGGCCGACCCACCTGGAATGCCAAACGGCACGGGTCTTGGGTTAGGGGGGCAGAAAAAGAGGCTATCTGCTCTTCCCTGGAAGGAAGTGTCAGCCCAACCTCTACTGGGAACCAGATCTCCTGGGTTCGTTCCCTATCTGCCCTTTGCTTGCCCCCAGACTCAGAGATCGTTTCCCCTCTCCAACTCGGGAACTCCCAGGACTGCGGGAAATGGAGATAGCAACATAAGGGACTTGAGTGAGACATGGTGGAGAACCTTCTGAGACAAAGTGGGAAGGCACCAGCCTGTGACTTCACAACCGAGCCCCGAGCTATGCCAGGGTGCTGCGTGTGCCTTCGGAGGAGCAGGCCCCATGACAGGTGCAACAGCCAGAGAGAAAGGCCCTTCTGGAGCTCCTCTTATCTGTCCCTCACCCTCACACCCGACGCACTCAACCCCTTGTCAGTATGTCCTGAGAGACATACTGCAGAACCCCAGTGCACACCGTTGCCTAGCGCAGGGCTCAGCAAACTCTCTGGAACAGGCCAGAGAATAAGGATTCGAGGTCCTGTGGGCCCTGTGCACCACACGACCGCTCAACGCCAGGTTGCCGCTCATGCTGCCACAGGAAACACATAAACAGATGAGCTTGGTTCTGTTCCAATAAAACTTCATGTATGGACACTGAAATTTGAATTTTATATGATTTTCGCATGCCACCAAATATTCTTCTTCTGCCTTTTTTTTTAACTGTTTAACATTATATTGTGCACCTGAAACTAATACAACATGGCATGTTAATTATACTTGAATTAAAAAAATATAATCAAAATGTAAAAGCCATGCTTAGTTCACTGGCCATAAAAACAGGTAGTGGGTCCAATGTATAGCCCGGGGGCCTAGTTTTGCCACCCCCTGGTCCAGTGCCTTTCCACCATCCGTGTCCAAAGCTTCTTCTCAGGGTCTTACTTAAGTCCCTGATGCTGCAGTCATGATTTCATCTGCTGTGAGTCAATAAAATGCATCCTCAACCAGAACGTGCAGGGAGCAACCCTTCCCCAGCCTGTCCTTCATTCGCTTTGTCAAGAGCATTTCGGGAAGGGATATGTAGCCGACCTGTGGGAAGGAAAGTCTTGCCATGGTCAAGTTTTCTTTTTGACAATGTAGCTTTTCAGAATACACTAAGGGTGGGCAGGGGACTGTAGACCCTCGTGGGCACCAGCCCCGTGTGGGCTCACACGTGGGAGCTGTGAAGAGCTGAGCCTTGTGACCTGGTGGAAAGGCGGCGGGTCTTTCTCTCCCGGGCCCCACACGGTGGTGTTTTCAGGCTCCCGGTGTCCCCAGAGCTCTTCCACTATCCAGTAGCTGCACAAATTGAGGGAAAAGACCCGGAAGACGGGCCTGCTTGGCCCGCAAGTGAGCTCAGAACACCTTTGTTTTCAGTAGTTGGACCCCCAGGACATTTCTGTCATGGACTCTCAGTCCCCAAGTCACACTCCCCACGGAAGGCTAGACTCAGTGCACTTTGAGGAAACCTTTGATCCACCCTGGCTGTGAACTTCATAATTGTCCCTCATAGGTCTGCGGTCATGGTGGTTGGTGGCGGCAGTTTTAATGGCATGCTTAACTTTTGATTATCCCTTCTGGAAAGAAAAGGGAGTTCTTGTTTACCGAGGGTCAACTCTGGGCAACATGTGTGGTGCAACTCAGCAATTTTGCTCTGTATATATCCCAGTTAACCCTCCCTGAAGCCCACTCTTTAATGGAGGGAGGAAGAGGCATGGTGAATTTAAGGCATAAATTGTAAGACACCGTTTGTATTTGACCCAGAAGGAGGTCAGAAATGTCAAGTTCCAGAGATACCAACTCAGCTCCATTCCTCCTTGGTCCTCGCTCCTGACCCAGGCAGGAGGAGAAGGGGATAGACATCCTACCTGCCAAAGGCTGGTGCATCCATGGCATTTATTTCTACCAGCTCCCTTTTTCCTGAAGCTTCTGTGTACCTGTGGACAGTGAAGCATTTGAAATTTTCAATTCTTTAGGCTGAGAAAGTGCCATCAAGAGCACGTAAGTGCTGTCTCTGCTGCTTTTCCTGGTCCTGTCTGGGGGAGGATGGGCTGGAAAGAGATATGGGGAGAACAGTAACCCACTCATAGCCAACCCTGGGCTCTCTGTGGAAATCTACAGACATCTGTCTGTTGCTCGTCACTCCCTCACAGAGCTGCTTTGCCAGGAGGTCACCCCACTTAGGTTGGTGGTCAGATCCTCAGACCTGGCTGCCACCACCTTGCTCACCTTCAGCTCCCAGGCCAGCCTCATGGGAACTGGAAGGAGAAGAGCTCAGATGCTGCCCCCACACAAATTCAGCCACCAGGAAAGGCCCCTTGAAGCAGGGAATGGCTCTCAAGGAAGGAGAGGCCATGAGCCACATGGCAGGGCAAACCTAAGGGCTGGAAGAGGCGGGTGGAGAAGCAGAGTTGGAGCAAGACCATGCAGGGCTTGCTGTCCTTTTGAAAGAGGAATGAGAGAGTTAAGTGCCACCCCTGGTGCTCTTTTTCCTCTTGCTCCTGACTGACAGAAAACCATCTGCAGGGGGCCAGATGGGCTTTGCATTTATCAGAGAGGAGGGAGAGACTGCTGCGGCATCTGAGCCCCAGCAGTATGGAGCCAGCCCACTCTGATAGAGCAGGGACCGCAGAAGGAAAGGAGCAGGGTCCAGGGGAAGCTTTTTCCTTTCGGGACCCTGGAGAAACCTGGAGGAACTCAAGGCAGGCCGCACTGAGGGCAGGGGTGCAAGCCCTATGCTCAGGCTCCACGTACAGACATTCTACCAGAGTCGGCAGATGGCGGAACCAACCTGTGTGAACAGATGGTAGGCAACGGCTTGAGAAACCTCAGCTCCACCCATGACCCCTCAGACCTCACTCCATCCTCCACAAGGAGCCTGTCTGGGTTTCATGGGGATCACGCCAGGCAGAAATGGGGTGAAGACTGCTTTGGGAGTGAGGTCTGGTGCAGTCCTAGACAAGCAGAGTCATGGAGCTGAGGGCCCCAAGTGGAAGTCAGTCCTGCCTCCAAGGGACAGAGGGACATGAGAAGCCAGTTTGGAAGGGCAGAGAGGGAGACTGGGTCAGCCCGGGCAGGAGATCTCTCTGAAGAAACCTAGAGCCTCAAAAACCCCATTTCCTTGATTTTTCAGAGTGAACTGATTACCTACCAATGCCAAGTACCTGACTCCCAACACTGCCTAGAGTTCCTAGACTAGCCAAACTCTTAAGAATCATCTAGGAGTTGACAAACCAACCAAATAGTGCCTATTTGTGCAAATAAAGTGGAACACAGCTGTGCTCCTTCATTGACAGAGTGTCCCTGGCAGCTTTGGCTACAAGCAGCAGAGCTGAAGAGCTGTGACAAGGACCAACGGGCCTGCACAGCCTAAAATACATACTGTCTAGTCCTTTACAGAAAAAGTTAAATGATTCCTGGTTTAGGTTAACAAGAAGACTTTCTAGGATTTTTGTAGCAAATTGAACCTAGTTTTAACTCTGAATCCACAACTTAGTAGCATTTGAATTTGTGTGAGTCTCTTAAGCCCCCTAGGCCAAGTTCCTCATCTGTGAATTATTTATAGTACCTCCCAGCGTTAGAAGAGAATTAAATGAGTGTATGCACAAAGAGCACATGGCCCTGAGACTGGGACCTGGAAATCCCTCCATAAATGTGTGTGTGTGTGTGTGTGTGTGTTGGGAGTGGGGAATAGGGACTTGCACCCCATGTCTTATCTCAGTCCTTGATGTCCTCCACACTGTGATTTTTTTAAGTTGCGGCAAAATACACATAACATAAAATTTACCATCTTAACCATTTATAAGCATACAGCTCAATAGCATTAAGCACATTCATGTTGATATGCAACCATCACCACCATCATCTCTACAACTCTTAGCATCTTCCAAAATGGAAACTCGGTACCCATTACACACTAATTCCCATTGTCTCCTGCCTGCAGCCCCTGGCAACCACCATTCTACTTTCTGGCTCTATGAAGGACAGTAGCTGTCCTTTTTTTTTTTTTTTAAAGATTTGATTTATCTATTTGACACAGAGAGAGAGAGAGCACAAGCAGGGGGAGCAGCAGAGGCAGAGCAAGAAGCACACTCCCCGCTAAGCAGGGATCCCGATGCGGGGCTCGATCTCAGGACCCCGGGATCATGACCTGAGCCGAAGGCAGACGGCCAACCAACTGAGCCACCAGGCGCCCCTGGTTTTCTCTTTAATGAGTTTTCCATAGACGTGTTGGAAGCTGTGCACCCATTCACTTTCAGCCGCATGAGGCATGTTACTGGCCTGGTGACCAGGAAGGTAGGGGGCTCCAGCTGACGAGTAGCAGAAGACAGCATTACTCCATGGTTCTGGGAGTCCCAGCCCTTGGCCCTGCTGCTGCAGGATTGCTTCGTGCTCCAGGTCCTGGAAAGTGTCTGCTCTGTAAGACCTGGCTGAGAATCAGCAGGCGTGCTGGTCAGGATGGGGAGCATGAGAGGTCCAGACCAGTGCTCCCTAGATAAGAGTTCAGGGTCTCCTGCCATCACTCTTAGCCACTCAGTTATTTATTCATTCATTCCACAAGTATCTGAATACTCCATGTCGGTCAGCACTGAGCGCTCCGGGAACACGATGGTGAGTGAAAATGAACGGGACCCCTGTCTCAGAGCTTCCAGTCCACGGAAGGAGCAGCCATTCATCAACTAATCGCATCTATCAGTATATAAAATACAAGCTGACATGAGACCGGTGGAAGAAGGAAATATGTTTGGGGGCCCCACACAGCCTGGCCTGGCCCGGAGGTGGGGAGGCTGCTGAGCCTGAGTGAGGCAGGAATTCAGAGCCAGCCTGATGGCAGTGGAGGGAGGCAGGCCTTCAAGGAGCAGTGGGTTTTTACAGAGCTCCGTGGGCCTGGGGCAGGGCAGCATGAAGAGGGCGAGCTGACTTCCTCCCCATTGCTCCTCCTTCCGCCACCTGCCCTTCCAGATGGGAGTGGAAGTGAAACAGGATCTCTGGAAGGCTAGGACATGGTGCCACTGGCAAGAGAGACTTTTGGCGGTAGGGGGGGTAGGCAGGGAATGGTAATGCCCGGTAGGGAATTCTAGAGAGAACACGGCAGAGGACCATTTGACTGTAGCTGAGAACCTGAATGGGAAATCAGCTCTTTAATCCCAGCGCTGGTCTCCACTGTGACTTTAGGCAAATCTGGAGCCTCGCAGGCTAGCTGATCGGTGGAATGAATCATCTTGTCCCCCTTCACGCTGCTTACCTCACTTAGTTGAAAATGTGAGGTAAGTGCTAGGTGCCCAGGGGACAGGACCAGAGTGGGTTGGTTTTACATGGCTCTGCAGGCCCTGAGAACAGAGATAAATAAGAAATGATTGTGGTTATTAAGAATAAAGGATTATTCAAGTTAAGCCAACAAAGAAAAGTTAACAAATATGGCGGGGTGCAGCCTACAGAGAAGGCTGAAGGAGCACTCGGTACGAATTTGCAGGGACAGGAAGAGTAAGAACTAGGGGAAGGATCTAATATTGCTTTCCCCAGGTTCACTGACAATAGAAAGAGGAAACCAGCCCGAGTTGTAGACCAGAGAGGCTGGGATTCGGTGACGGAGGGGGTTGTGTTAGATTCAGGAATGGAGCCTAAAGGTGGGGTATGACAGCTAACGAGAGGAAAGGTCCCCACATGTGGGGTGGTTTTGGTGAAAGGCAACCTCGGCAGCCCCCTTGCAGTCCATTTCTAGCTCCAGCACTCTGTGAGGCACACCACAGATCAGATCCAGCGACCCCAGGCTGACGGCGGGGAGGGAGGGTGGAATACCCCGAGGAATGGACCAGAGTCGCTCGGATTTTCACTCTCCCTCCCATGTGATGCCTTTGGTTTCCAGTGGACCTAATAAGCTTCCTCCTCACAAAATTGACTCACTCCGCACCCCACATTCTTTTATTGTGCCTTTTGAGACAGCTGTTTATGGATTGTTAATAAGCCTGAGATTCTGCTGTATGCTAAGCAGAGGCACTTCTAGACTCTTTGCACACACTCTCACTCCCTTCCTTTCTAAAAAAACTCATTCATATTTAATTCAGTTCTTCTAAATGGCTTCCACAGCATCCTATCTTTCCACTTTGTAATGCATCCCAGTCTCCCTTAATGCACGACCTGCCAAATTAAACTTTATGGCTTATCAGCTAGAAGATTGCCATAGGATAAAGCCAAGTGTTCTTGCAAGTTATGTTATGGGCTTTCACACCTGCCAGCTCATTTTCATTGTTCAGATGGCTATATACCTTCCTTCCCACAGCCCCGTGGTCCTTGTCTTCAGCTGTCAGTCACTGGTACGCCGGCAATTTTGTGCGGCTGTCCCTTAGGTACCAGGGAGGAAGGGGGACAGTCAGCTGGGCTATAATGAACTCCCCTGGGGAGTCCTCATTTGGAGACTTAGATTATTAGGGTATAAGGAACACTTGCTTCAACGGTGCAAATCAGCCTTGGCCTGGGGCCATGGCACATCAGGCAGGAGGCCAGAGGGAAGCGTCAGGAACTCAGCCACTGTCTCCTCATCCCAGCAGCTGGTCCCTGCCCTCCCATCCTGTGTGGTCCTAGTCAGGCCAGGACTCAGCTTCAGTGTTAATTTATAACTTCCTTGCACACCATCTTGTCCAACTCCCCTTTAGAGCACACATGCTCTTGGGGGGATTGATACCTTAAGCCAGCGGCAGTTAACATCTTTTCGGGAATGAGTTGGGAGCCAATCGGGAGCAGAAGCGGGGGGCACAGCCTGGAGAGATGGGTGTGGGTCACTTACACGGAAGAAGGGGGCTTCTCCAGCGTCCCCTCAGAGCTAAAGGATCGAAATGCATGCCCACAGAAACTGACAAACATGGTGCTGGGGCCCGGGGATATTGAGTGGCCTCCGTAAGGGAAGGCTTCTGAGAGTGTGACCCCTACCCGTATCTTAGCAGGGGAGCTAGCATGGCAGCGGGGGGCGGGGGCGAGGGTGGGCTTGGGGAGAGCAGGGAAGACTGACTGTGAAACCTCACTGCTCTGTCATTCCCTTGCTGAGTGGCCTTGGTGGGTCAGTGGATCGCTCTGTTTGTGTGTGTCTCTCTTTCTCTGCCTCTCTACTACTTTTTATTGAACATGGCACTGGGCCATGTTCTTTATGTTTACTCTCTCATTTAACCTGACAACACCATGCCGTGCAGCTATTATCCTACAACAGAAGTCAGTCCTGTACCATTTCCATCCTTTATGGTTGTGAAGAGGGCCAGCTTTGGCATCAGACCTGGATTTGACTCCTGGCATTGTTACTTACTGGCTAGGTGACCTTTGGGCAGGGAACTTGAACCTCACACTTGGTCTATAAAGTGGGGATAATGCCCACCTAAAGGATTGTCATGAGAATTAAATATAAATACACATGTTTATAAATATATTGATAAATATGTATTTATTTATAAATCTCCTAGCAAACTGCCTAGCACATTAGTAGGCACCCAATAAATAGTCGGTGTTGTAACATTCAAATGAGGGAGAAGGGTGGTAAAGAGGTCTTTTGTAGAACAGGGCCAACTCTAGACATTTTTGGCAGAAATCTCTGCAGTCCCAGGGCAGCCCTCCGTGATGATCTGAGTGTTGACCGTGGGGTCTGGATTGGGGCAGCCCTCCGTGATGATCTGAGTGTTGACCAGTACAGTCTGGATTGTTTTCAGAGGCTCCACGAGGAGTTACCACTCAGCCTGGAGGAACTGGAAGATGTGTTTGATGCCCTAGATGCTGATGGCAATGGCTTTCTGACACCAGAGGAGTTCACCACTGGATTTAGTAAGTTCAGATGGGTGCTGGGGCCCCAGGGTATGCATCTACCTAAAGCTATGTAAAGTGCACGCGTCCCCCACCAGATCTGTGGGTTGTGTAGCCCAAACTTTCCTGCCCTCTGGAAGTTTCCAGGCTCTGGATTATTTGAGCCTCTTTTCTGTGTCCTTGTTGGCTGTTCATAGCACTGTTCTCTCCGTGCCCACTACACGGTCACAGCCAGATCCCCTCCCATCTGAGAAGGGCAAGCTTGGCATAAAAGGAGGAGCCGAGATGAGATTTCCAGCCTCTACATCTCCTCTCCTTTCCATGATACCAGTGCACAACACAGCACAATGGCTGCATGGTTCATTTCAACCTGGGTCTGGCTGAGTCTTCCAGATTGAGGGGAACCCGCCATCAGAGGAATTTCTAGAGGGTTTGAATAGACCAGTCATTCTCAAGGTACCCAGGAGGAAGGAGAACAGAGATTCATGAACAAGATAAAGAAGCCAGATACACCATCAGATCAGATACTGATCAGATATTGATCAGAGCAGGTAGGGGTCAGCAGGCAAGTTTTACCAACCATCTGCCTCACACAAAGTGCCGTATAGTTGGTTTAGAAGTATCTGAGGTTCTTCCTGAGCTCTAGGAGCTTATAACTGCCTCGAGAGCATAAGACAGATTGCTGTATATTACAGGCAGTTTGAGAAAGCACACCCGAAATATTTAAGTCGCTTATAAATGTGAAGCACCGTGATCCTGGTGGTGGGAATGACTAGATGATGTTATGGAGCAGTCAGGCTGCTGCTGGTGGTCGATGGAGGGGAGGCTCTTATTGTTTAGAGAGGAAATCAGTGAAGAGATGAGCTCTAAGCCAGACTTTAAAGGTTCGAGAACCACAAAGGTGCCACAGCACTGTCATCCATTCCGCCTTTCCCAGGCTCTAGCGTCTCTCAGAATCTCATGGAAGTAGCAAAGTCCCCAAATCCAGAAGATGGTGGCAAGAATGTTTGCTGTGGGGGGAGGGGGCCCCCTTTTCTTCTCTTAGATGAGCCTCCGATGATTCCTGGCAACTGAGAATGATAAGGTCTCCCTGGGTGAGTATTTATTGATTGCCTGATTCAGATCCTTGTGCTGTGCATCCTCCAGGTCACTTCTTCTTCAGCCAGAACGAGCCAGGTCAGGAAGATGCCGGTGAACAGATGGCCCAGCTCCAGGAAGAGAAGGTGTATCAGTCCAGAGGGGAAGAGCATGCGGGCGCCATGGATGACGATGAGGAGACCCAGTTCCAAATGCTGATGGACAAACTTGGAGCCCAAAAGGGTTTTGAAGAGTAAGTGGTGACAGGGACTGGGGGGATGGAGCCCTGCCTAGGAGCCACCCCTTCATCTGCCCTGTGCGACATCAGTGTGTGTTAAGTGCTCAGCTAGGCCCCAGTTTCTGGGCTGCCAGCTAGAAGACTTGGCAGACTCTTGTCTCTGCTCTTTGCATTTTCTCATGGGAAGCACGGCGACGCCCCTACCCTCCCACTCTCCGCACTCCTACCATACGGTGTCAGCACAGTCCTTGGCTCCCTGAGGAGCACTATGCAGCAGAGGACCGTGCCGGGCCTGGAGGGGTTCTCTGTGCATTTTGCTGGGGTTCCTCATCCCTGCCAGCTCACCAGCATTTCCTCCTCCCCCACCCCCGCCTCCGGAACCAGCTTTGGGTCTCAGGGGCTGCAGGGCAGCCCGGCCCACCCCACAGTGGCATGCTCCTGGCCGAGGCACCTCACGTGGAGGCATTTGCACACGGTGTCCCTGAGCCGAGCTAAGCCCATCAGGAAGCTGAGGCAGGAAATTAACCAGTTTTTACCAGCCCACCACTTGGATAATCAGCAGCTCAGCTGAAAATTTCAGATGGCTGGAATTTCAACTAAAACACAATACCCCCATTTTTTTTTCCAAAATGTATCTGACATTTAAAATGAAATGAAATAAAAATAGGATGAAATGAAATAAAAAGTGGAGTCACAGCTAGTGGAAACCAGTGGCCTAAAAACTGCGGAATACTGTTCTCCCTTTTCCCATTGCCTTTTGCCTTTCCATTTCTGGGCCTCTCAGTCTTGGGTTGGGTGTGTGTTGCAGGAGTAGGAATGGCCTGATGATTGGAGCTGATGCGTCCCAAGCTTGGGAGGTGAAGGAGCTGTGGTTGGGAATGATAAAGAAGTAGCAGGAAAGGAGGGGCCTGCACACAACACTCAGGCCAAAGCAAGAATCTGTAGCTCTGTGGATTTTTGAGCAAACGATTTGGTAGATTGCATCATAGTTGAGAAAGGACAGTCAAAGGCCTGGGAGAGAGCCCGGTGAGAGGCTCTGGATGGTCAGTGTGCTTGCCCCCCGGGGCGATCCCAGGACTCTGGGATCATGACCTGAGCGGAAGGCAGACGCTTAATCATCTGAGCCCATGGACGGGGGCAGGTGCGTGGGAGGTACGTTAGTCAGAGACCTGACTCAGCTTCTCTGAAGACAAAAGGCCAGAGCCCAGGGACCACTGCCAGTGACCCCGTGAAACCTCCTCCTGGAGGAGCGGGAGGAGAGGGCAGTGTGGATGAGCCACGGCACTGGCATGAAAGAGAGGCACCTCTCCGCCCACCTGTCCCTTCTGGGGCAGCCCCCTTCCTAGCAGGGCTCTAAAAGCAGAATTCACCTGATGTTCCTCGGAGGGCCTATGTCAGAGGTCTGTGAGGAACTGAGCCAGCATGAGGCATCCTGGGGAAGAGAAGGCCCTAGGAAAGGTTTCAAGGGTGGTTACAAAAACTGATATGCAGAAGATGGCGGCCAGAACTCTCCATCCCCATGGAAGCTAAATGGAAGGCGGCGGGCTGGTGTTGCAGCATGAGGGGAATGGCAAAACCACTGGGCCCCAGAGAAGGACATAAAGGAGGCTGTGAAGACTTTGGAGGTCTTCAAAGATTCACTCCCCAGAATGGCTTGTATATTGTTCTGGGAGCAGGCAGATGGGTCAGCTGACCTCCCAGAATCCCGTCTAGCCCTGCTCTCTGAGTCCACCACCCTTTCATGAGGAGCAGAAGCGGTAGACCAGATGTCTGGACTCCCAGCTTTTCCCAATGGTCCAACTAGCTGAGTGATTTGGCAGCTTATGGACTTTGGCTTATTTTTTCATCAAGAATGGACAGAATTGTCCCTTCTCCAGAAATTTTGGGGGGAGGGGATGTGGCCATGACGAAGTAGTTTGGAAAGGTTTGGAAGAGAGTCAGGTGGGTCTGCAAATCTCACTGGAGGCTCTGGCCAATTGGCTGTCTCGGCAGGAACTTGGCAGATGTGAACATACAGACCAAGGCTAACAAGGTGGACCTTGATTTTATAATGCAGGTACTTCATGAGGGAAGCAGCCTGCCCCAATCATGGGAGGCCATCATCATATGTCTCTGGGACTCTTGTATCTCTGAACCCCTTGTACCATCTCCATTGTATCTACAGTACAGCAAAGTGGACTGCCCTAGCCTGTTCTGTGTGGGTGGGGAAACAGAACTCATTCTGGGAAACGAGGAAGCTCCTCCCTCCCCTTCCCTTGCTTCCCGGATCACCTCATGTCATCTCAGTGCTGGGTTCCAACAGATAAGAAGTACTCGTTGGGTGATGGGTGGACGAGTGGTCCTGATGAGTTGGAGGACAGCAAGGGAAGGAAGGAGGGAGGGGCAGTGGATGGATGATCCGATAACTCACCAGTGGTACCTTCCCTTCTCAGTGGGCCTCCCTGTGCTGGGTGCAGAGAGTACTCTTGTGGCCCAGGCCCATTGCTAACCTGGTGCTGGCAAATAGCACTTCCAAGGAAAGTTGCTCAAATATAGTACTTGTCACACAAGAACAGAGGATTTTATTCTTTATCCTGAGGGTTCCCGGTTGTAGCTACCCTCAGATCATAGTGGTTTTAGAATTTACTGGGTTGCAGATCAGATTGATCTCAGGCTCCGTGTGATGGTTGGCCATAGATTTTCGAGTTTCTCCAGAGAGGGAGAGCATGGTCCCTGGTGTATGCTACCTCCTCCTTCCTCCTGTCCCGGGTCAGTGTGGCCCCACGTGTCTCTGTTGCTCTGCAGTACACACCTGCCTATGTGCCTGTTAGCCGGGGGTGGGGCTGGGGGAGGGGAGGCTCTGGGCACGTCACTGTGTGTCTTTGTCTCTCTGCCTGCCTGTGTCCCTGCCAACTTTCTATTTGTCGTTCCGTGTGTGCACACGCATCTCGAAGATTGGCGCCTTCCCTTCCTTCTGCCTGTCAGTCATTCCCGTTGCCACCGGGCCCCAGTGGGGTGCTGCGTATTCTCTTCCGTTCCCCGCGGTGACAACTGCTTTCTGCCATCCATCAGATGGCATGTCTTTACCTCTCAGCTATGAGGACCGTCCTTCCTGGGGCGATAGGCTCTTTCCTTTAGCTCCACGGCGTTAGTCCTCACACGCACCAGGCTCCTGTCCTCCTCTCCTCTTCCTGCCATTCTTTGATGCTCCCAGCACGTGGCTGTGCATGCTCAGCACCACCAGCCCATAGGGAAAAACTGGAAAGTGGAAGCAGTGGCGTGCGGGGTGAAGGAGGTCGACACAGGAGCCAGGCAGCCCCGAGTTTGACTCTTGACTGTGTCGTTTGCCAGCCAAGTGATCTGAGACAGCTCACCTCACCCTCTTCTGGGGGTGAGTAGAGCACCAGCCTCACAGGTTACCGAGAGGGTCAAATAAGCTTATATGCGTAGAGTACCTAGCATACAGCCAGCATTCAATAAATGCTGGCCATCGTGATCATGATCATGATGTTCTGGCTGTCAGTTTCATGTCTGGGAACCGTGGTATTTCCACACTCGGACATTAATGCGCCCCTTTCTCTTGTAGTGAAAGTGATATCAAGCAACTCTGGCTACAGCTGAAGAAGGACGAACCTCACTTACTGGCCAACTTCGAGGATTTCCTGACCAGGACCTTCTCCCAGCTCCAAGAAGCCCATGAGGAGAAGAACGAACTGGAGTGCTCCTTGAAAAAGTAGGTCCCCAGCCTCAGCCATTCACTGTACCCGGGTGTGAGAAACAGAAACACAGAGTACATTTTCTCATTCCGGGAGGCTCCCTGTCACGGTCTGCCAGAGTGGAGACTGGGACCTGTGGCTGTCATAGTAATAGTATAAATATTTTTAAGCCCTTGCTCACATTAATCAGGCCCTCACCATATGCTGGGCACTATTTAAACATATACACCTGCTCATTTGGACTATTCACTGTTACGCCCATTTTATAGATAAAGACATCAAGGTCCTGAAGGGTGAATGACATGCCCCAGGACATACAGCTTGTAAGTGGCAGAGCCAGCATTCAGAGCGAGATAGCCCGGCACCCGAGACTGGTTGGAAAACCACTCTCCCTGCCTCTAGACCGTGAGGCCCTGACACCCCGGGCCTACCCCCCAACTACAGACCAGCTCTGGGCCCCACTGAGTCCCCTTCTGACCACTCTCTGGAGCATCACAGCCTCACATCCGTCCTGCTGCCTCCTGGCCGCCAGGGCCTCTGCAGTCATTAGTGGTTTCTAGCTCTTCTCCTTTGCTTGGAGGAGGCAGCCCCAGCAAGGTGAGCCCTGGACCTGAAGCCAGCCGGAGTCAGCCTTGTGCCACAGACGTGGGGCCAGCCACATGGATGTTCATCCACCTGTGGGGATGGTGCTGCATGTGTCCAGAGTCATCACATCCACGTCACAGCAGGGAGCTCACATTGGGTGAAGCATGGTGTAGCTAAGGATGGTTCATCATCCTGAAGGTGTGGCCAAAACGCAGGGCTGGGTCTGGGTAGCCCTCGGAAGCGTGCCGAAGCGGTCCTTGCAGTAATTCTGCCACGCACTCTCGTCCCCGCCCAGAGATCACTCCCTGCACAGGAGTCCTCGACGCTTCCAACACAGACCACGCGCCCTTCCTTGCAAAACTCCTAGTGCCTAGCACCGCCTCCTGGGGACAGGGCTTTAGAGTCCAGGCTGCTAGACTTCAGAGCCTCCGCCAACATGGCCTTGGGGAGAGCATGCAAGCCCTGATTTAGAAGGAGATCACCACGTGTCTTACAGCATGATCAGCTATCCACACGTTGCCCTGAGTTCCTCTGCATCTCGTGCCTCCCCCAGATCAACTCTAAAAAGAACTTGTTGGGGTCCGTTGGGTATACGCAGGTCTGGAAAAAAGGACCCTTAGGAGCCTGAGTTATGAGAAAGTTGTGGTCAAGTAGTGCTGGGGAAAACACGGTTTGGCTGGAGGAGTATCATGAGCATTCTGGGGAGAGGCTCCCGAGGCTCAGAGAAAGGAAGGATTGAGGGTAGAGTTCTGCACAGCTTTTAGCTGACAAAGCTGTGAGTCAGGACAGATCTGAGTTTACATCTTGGCTGCGCCACTTGCGAGCTGTGTGACTCAGGCTAAGCTACTCAACCTCTCTGAGTCTTGGCTTCCTTATGCGTAAGATAGGGATGTTAACAAAATGAGTATTTGATGCACGTTAAAGTAATAATCCTTATTATTTAAAATAAGTCTGTTTGTCAGTCTTAGAGGATTCGCTGGCGGAAGTGGAGAGCTTGAGGCTTGATAGAAGCAGTGGTGAACTTCAAAGACCCCTTTATCCTTCCAGACAACATGGTGTAGAGCGAGCAGCCCTGGCATCGCCTGGAAATTTCTTAGGAATGCAGAATCTCAAGGCTCCCCCGACCCCTACTGAGTCTGCACTGTTACAAGATGTCCAGGTGCTTTGTGTGTGATTTGAGAGATGGGGAGCTGGCAGTCAGCTCTGCATTTAAGTCACGTGTGGCTCGCCAACCAGCTAGCCTTGTGAGCTTGCTCAAGTCTCTTGGCCTCTGTGAGCCTTGGTTTTCTCACCTGTATTCGTTTCTGACCCTCCCTGCACCCCCACTTTCCTCTGACCCCAACGTTGATCACCCCGAGGAGCTGCAGAAACACTCAGGCAGCACGTCGCAGAGAGGAGGGTACTCTATCACCCAAGCAGGGTGAGAGTGGTCATAGCCCGAATGGGCAGGCAGTGACCCAGCTCATGGCCTGGAATCTTCACTGCAGGGTGTTTGTGCTGGCCTGCCCTTCCACAGGGAGAGAGCCATGCTCTTGGCTGGTGTCAGAGCCGGCAAGCCCTCACATTCATCCTAAAGTGGCCTCTTTTAGTGCTTTTGCCCCAATTTAATGATTATTAAAAAGTTCTTGAGGTGAAAGTCAAGGCCACTCTCGGCTGCATGTGCAAAATGAGCTCGGCCATAGGTTCCAGCCCTCCGTACCCATCCTCTTTCGATATCCCTGCCAGGGACACCTGCGCTGGGTCAGCTGATGGAGGCCCACTCCTGGCTGGGTAGCTGTGGTGGGACTGGGGATTCCTGGGTTCCCTGGCCAGTCGCACTCCAGGGGTGTTCTCTGGGTGCAGAACCAGAGACCTGCAGGCTGTAGTGAGCAGAGCACTAAAATAGGAGGCAGGAGAAACCTGAGCTCTGGCCCAGGCACTGCCACTGATCAGCTGTGTGACCTCGGACAACTAGCTTTACCTCTCTGTGCGTCAGTTTCCCTACTGGCAACATGAGAAAATGGCTTGGTGTTTTTCAAGCTGTTTTGTGATCGTGACTCATTAGAAGAAATGCATTTGGCTTTGCAACTCCCAGACACTTCGATGTGTACATAACTGAAAATTTCCTGAAATGGAGCTCACCCTTATTACATGTGACATACTCTGACATTCTCTACTAGAGTCTCTTATTCTCTCGTCTTCTGTTAAATAAACCAAAAGGCTGGTCACATCCTGCTTCTGGGTTATGACTGGACCAGATGAGCTATAAGGGTCCTCGGAGCTCAGCAGTCAAACAAGAAACTGGAAACCCTGATAGCATCTAGAATATTTAAATGGGAGTCTTGACAAATAATGCAGGGTGAAGTTAAGTGACTCGGAGACATCTTCTAGGAGATGAGTTGGGGAGTTTGGGGCTGTGTGTGTCCAGGCGTTGGGGAGGGAGGAGAAGGGGAGCTCTTGGGAATGGCCTGATTCAGGCTGGAGTTCGGGGGGACCCTGAGAACTGTTTGAACATCTCCCGGACTCCTCCACGGGCTGGCATTTCCACTCTGCCTGGAGAATGAGCACCTGTGGCAGACGTGGCTCTCGTCCTTGCTGCTGGGCGTCTAGCCCCGGCCAGGGCCCTGGGGACCCAGCACACTGTTACTCTGGCTCGCCTGTAACAAGCCCCTACTCTCTGCCTGGCTCTGAGTTGGGCAAATAGAACTCAGAGTCCCCATCTTTGAGGAGTTTATGATCACGCTGATAAGGTCGAGCTCATACCCATACAAATTCCGCCACAAAGCCGAGCCGAGAATTCCCATACCATTGAAACGCCAGATGACATTGTCATCGGCAGCAGAGGCTTTTTCTTCCTTTTCCAGACCACACATCTCGTTTCTGTCTCCTGTGGAGCCCAGAGAAAATGGGACTGCTGAGGGTGGGCATCCTGTCCCACGGGGTTTGAGTTTTGCTGCAGTGAGTGAACCAGGTCCACTCCAGCTTCCTTCAGGTTCTCTCCAGGTTCTGTAGGGGAGGAGTGTGTAGTGGGCTTGAGTGCCTGGAAAAGCTCCTAATAGCTCCTGTCCCAAGACCAGCCTCCGGGGCCCTCCGTACCTCACTGCCCTGGATTGTTTGGTTTGGTTTTGTTTTTACCTGCCTATTGGGAATAGGTCAGTCTCCCACCCCCTTGTCCTTTGGGGTAGAGGTTGGGTCAGAATCCTGGGTACAATGTTCAACTCGGTTGTGCGTCCACTGGGAAGTAGCCACAGCCCCAGGGGGCACGGTAGAGACAAGTCAAATGCAGGAACGTCGGGCTAAAGCCTGGTTCTCCTGCTGAACTTCAGAACCTGGAAGATCCGCTGCATCTCTCCCAGGAAGTGGAGGCTAGACTGTAACAGAGCTGTGCTCCTTGTATTCACTGCACAGAAGCTCAGAGAACTTTACATTTAGTGTGATGGATACAGTTTAGGCTTAGGGAGAACTTCAGGCCATCAGAATTACAGATTCCTGGAGCGCCTGGGTGGCTCAGTCGCTTAAGCATCCAACTCTCAATTTCGGCTCAGGTCACGATCCCAGGCTCCTGGGATAGAGCCCCAAGTTGGGCTCCCTGCTCAGCGGGGAGTCTGCTTCTCCCTCTCCCTCTGCCCCTCCCCCCACTCATGCTCGCGCTCTCTCTCTCAAACAAATAAATAAAATCTTTAAAAAAATTATAGATTCCATTGCCATGGAAAGCATCTTTCTAATTATCTTTTCCTGGAAGAAAAAAAAAAAACAAAAAACAAGCTTCAGCTCTCCAGGGGATGTAGAGTGGTACTGTCTGGAGGCAGCAACAGATTCAGACCTTTTTGCCAGAATCATTAGGGGGTGCAGAAGTCCCACCCCAGGCAGGCCAGATTCATTTGGTCTGGGGTGAGGACTCGAAGTCTGCATTTATAAACTATCCTGAGGGATTCTGACTTTTTTTTTTTTTTGAGAGAGAGAGAGAGAAAGTGAGTGAGAATAGGTGGGGGCGGGCTCAGAGGGGGAGGGAGAGCCAGAACCTCAAGCAGGCTCTGTGCCCAATGTGGAGCCCAACGCGGGGCTCAATCTCATGACCCTGAGATCACGACCTGAGCCGAAATCAAGAGTCAGATGCTTAACCGACTGAGCCACACAGGCGCCCTGAGATTCTGACTTTTGACCAGAGTTGACATGTGCTGGATACATAGGCCTGGTTAGGTTCTTTACGAGGATCTAACCCTGAGGCTGGGGGTAAGGATGAATTAGGTGGTGTCTGGAGAGTGCTTTGAGCTCTTGGAAGAAAAGTGCTTTCAAAGATCAAAGGCAGGCCATGGGCTGTACTCTGCCTGCTCAGGCCTCTGTAGCTCAGTATCCTGGGAGGACCACCCAGGCTGCCTGCTTCACATCACTGGGGGACCACACTTGGCTTTGACAAACAGCAACACTCCCCAGGGCCTTGTTGGAATCAGTT